ACACCAGTGGGATGGGCACTGTGGGATTTACCCCAGAAAACCCCTTTGGGGATATCTCCACACAATTTTGGCTCTGCCTAAATGTCAATATTTTTATTTGTCATTTCAAAGCATTTCCACATTTTCTGTCTCTAATTTACACTGCCAAAATTAGCCTGACTAACAGGAATTCCTTCTTGCTGGCTCAGTGCCTTTGCTGTCAGAAACCCTTGACAAACACGCACAGCAGCCAAAAGGTGGCTGTACACAAGGAGCAAGGAAAAGTCACATGGCAGTGTAATAGAATATCATGAGTTGGAAGGGATCCACAAGGATAATTTAGCCCACCTCCTGAATTTTTAGAGGGACCTCTCTACCTGCCACCTCCAGGAATAATGTTTCATCTCAGATTCATAATCTATTTTAGCAAAGGAAACATATATAATTTTTTTTTCCAGTTTAGCAACTAAAATCAGCCAGAAATCATTAGATTCTTAGTGTGCTGAATGTGAGACATTGGTGTCTTTTGTTCTGTTGATCAAGGGAGACAAATAGTGTGGTTCAGGAGCAGGACTACACAAACCTTTTAGGCAGAAGTCCTTGACTTTGACAAATAAATCTGTCTTAATTATAAAATACTTTATTTCTGGAGTGGACAGAGATCTTAAACAGCAGTTGCCAGGGCACACAAAAACCTTGCCTTCGTAACAGTTTGCTTTTCTCCCCCTCAAAGGCTTCCTTTGCTATTCTCTACTGTTTTACTAAATCAAACCATGACACCAGTTATTCCTTGCTGGCAGACAGGCACCCACACACAAGAGGGCAACCCAGCATCCAGTGTAAGTTGCATTGCTTGACTGCAGCTGAAATTATAGGTAAAAGGTAAATATAGATAAAAGCTACCAGCAGGAGCTGAGAGGACAGACCCCACCTGTGAGCACACCCCCCTTCCTGCTTGTCTTGCCAGAGGATCCCCAAGGAAAAGGGCACTCTGCAGAATGTCCAGGGGGACAAGTTCCATCCTTCCATTTTGTTAAAAATAATTTTTGGTTAAAAAATTCCTTGTACACAATTAAAAATCACTCCATCACCTCCCCACCTGCTGAGCAGCAGTTTCACACAGACCATGCTTCTCAGGTATTATGACAAAGAGAAACAAGGCTATTGCTGAAGATGCAGTGCATTCCCACAGCTGCTCCTCTGCCCAAGAGTTTTCCTTGCCCCACAAGCAGCACCTGGTTTTGTTCTTGGAAGTCCACACTGCTGGCTACTCATTTTCTTTTTCCTTGTAGCTGTTTGCAAACAGTTTAATTGGTTCTTCCACTGTTCTTCTGAGAAGTTAAATTCTCCTATATTGTCTGACAATACCCTTTATCCTGACTCAGAGATGGGGCAACTGAGAGGCATTTCTCATCTCAAAGTTTGCATACAAATACATACTGTGCAAACCTCCTATCAAGCTCTAAACGCTCTCTACAGATCTATTTCCTACACTGTGTAACTCCCCAGTTCCTCCTTTTGAGGAGATGAGAGCACTTTCCCTTGAGAAACGGGGGTTAAATGAAGGTGGGTGCCAGTAAGGGCTGCCCAGTCCTGGTTAAAGGCTTCTGCTCTGTGACTGTCACACACAGAGTGTCCCTGTGGGCCAGTGTGGGAATCCAGGGCTTCCCTCTGGCTGCCCTGGAAGGTCTGGAACCCTGGCAGGGGTCAGAAACCCCCCTGGACAGAGCCCCCAGAGACACTGTCTGTGATCTCTGTCCATGGAAAAGAGTTTTCAATCTTACAGGATGAATTACAAGCTCTGAGTGTTTGATATCAGTAATAATGAAGTGTGGCACGGGTGCAAAAGTAAAATTTTAGGATTCTAGATCAGGGGTTCAAAGGGGACAAGATGGAGGAAATTGGGTGTGTCTTGTCCTTTTTCTCCTTCTTCATGCCCTCCATGTTTCACTGTGGTGTTGGCATTTTTCTGTTGGTTCAGGCTGGGGACACACTGTCCAACGTAGGTGACAGATATTGGCACGTTATTGTAAATCCAGCACAGGTAGTTTCTGGTATTTAATGTTTGTACCATCCCACTGAGGGCAGAGCCCCACACGCTGCCCTGCAGGACAGAGCTGCGGCAGGGCAGCAGAACATGTTAGAGATAAACAGAATAAACAACCTTGAAACCAGCACAGATGAATTATGGCTTCTTCTTTGGCAACGGGGCAGAAAGACAGAGACTTTTTACAATCTTGGAATCATCAATACCCACGGATTCTGACAGACCAGGGGCTCTGCTCTGTGCCCCTTCCCAGTGATTTGGGCACTGCCAGGCTGGGGTTCCAGCTGAGTCCTGGTACAGCCATGACACTGCAGGATTTAACCTTGACTGTAACCAACACCTTTCCGCCAAAGTTTCAAATCACTCAGCTCCCCAGTCTGGGAAAGCCCAGAAATGACAGATTGATGGAGGAGATACTGGATTGTTGTCAAAACCAAACAGACCAGCATGCCTGGTTACAACTTGCCCTGGTTTCCTTCAGTCCTTGCTGGAAGGAAGCTCCTGCATGTATCACCAGGAGGCATTTTTTTGGAAAACTGGCAAGGCAACCACAGCACCAGCATGCCCAAAGCCATCCCAGCCTGCCTGCTCACCAGAATGACCAGCTGACTGCAAAACCCCAAGAGATTCCAACTTTGGTGCCCCTGTGGAAGAAGGACCAAAATAATTCTGATGAATTACTCTGTTCTGATGAACACAGCAGATTTTGGGAAATGCTGAGTGTGTGCAGCAGGTCTGGGATGTGTTGGGATTCCAAAGGCCTGGGAGGTTTCAGAGGGAGAGCAGGGCCTCTGAAAGCCACCAGGTAGCATGAAAGCAACCAAATCCACAGAAGAGTCTGTGCAAGGGTGTTTGTCCCTGAAGTGTTGTCCTCTGTCCTGTTTTGGATACTGTGCCAAGGACAAAATTACTTGAAATGCAGCTTTCCTGTTGCCAGTGCTGCTAAGTCAGGCTGAAAGACACTTGCTCTGGGGGAGTACAGAAATGACAAGACAATTCCAGAAACACATACTCACAACCTTCACACAGAGGTTTTTTAGAGTTTTTGAAAGCAAACCAGTACAAAATCCAGGGTCAGGGAGAGGGGAGATGGAGACCGGGAAGAGCTCGCATCTGGTTCCAAGGCATGTGTATAAAATGTGAGAATTACAGCCTTGCAAGGGTTTGGGGTGTTTTAGCTCAGCATCCTGGCATTTTTGCAGAAACTGAGCAGTGAGCCCAAGTTTCTTTTCCTGGAAAGAGCAGGTTGGGACTACTCAGAGCAGCTTTCCTGGGCACCTCATCATCCCTAGACATGACATTTCAGATCCAATGAAGCAAACAATCCTCTTCACACCCCTCCAGCCCCAGCAGCCCTCTGCAGCACCTCAGGGCATCATTTCATTCCTCTGCAGGGCTTGGCCAAGCCTGGGTCCCATCCCAGCTGGGGTTCCCAGGTGCTGTGTGACACAAATGCCAAACTCACACTCTGCATCCCAGGGAGCTGCCCTGGGGCTGCCCCAGCCCTCCTTGCTGTGTGCAGTCGTGTTTCTGGTGGAGGAAGGAGGGTGAGGGCTGTTCCTGGGGTGGGGCTCAGGCAGGAGCTCCAGCACACCCAGGCAGTGACCAGAGGTGGGAAGGGAACAAGAACTTCCACACCAGTGGAAGATGTGGAAGTGGAACTGTCTTCACTAAGCTTGCATGACCTGTGGTGTGTCCTGCAGCAAGCACCAGAGTTCATCCCTGACTCAACCCACCCTCAGCTCAGCGTGGGGTGTCCTCACAGCAGGTCCCACCCAGCTGCTGCACTCCTCTCTTCATCTGGTTTATGCTCACAGGAAATATCCTTGCCTAGGTGGGAGAACATATCAAAGAACATTGCTCCTGCTTCCTCTGCATGCAGGTTACATGTCAGGACATGTGCCTCGTGACAGGTTAAGAGGGCACATTTTGGGGAAGGGAAACTTTCTGACAACTCATCCCTAGAAGGCAGGCAGGTAATTATACTCCCAGTGGGCTCCATCCTCACTGGGAAAAGGCAACACCTGACTTTGGTCATGATTTGGTAATTCACAGCAGAAAAAAGTCCAGCAAAAAGAGCTGTGGAAAGAGCAGTGCTGGACTGCCCCCAAAGAGTGATGCAAAGTCTGCCACCCAAAATAAGCACAGTAGATGGTCCCTGCTTCAACCAGCTGATATTTGGCATCCCTCTGCCAGCAGAGAAGCCTGCATGGCCAGGAAATGCCCCTTTGGAGGCATTTTCCGGACTACAGGTTTCCAAGTGCGCAAAGGGGAAATTTGTTCTAGAAGAGGTCTCAATTTTCTCCTTCCTATGCTTTGCACAGTATCCCAAGGGTTTGAAACTGGAAGAGAAACATGAAAAGGGAAGTGCCTGTTTTCTCTCCAATCCCTTATTCTATCCACGCATCCCACATCCTTTCCTATTCATTGCTTCTGTGCAGAAAAGAGATTTTGGGAGCACTATAAGATGCTAGAAAGGGAGAGAGCCAGCCCTGTAAACTCCCCACCTGAGGGTGAACAGAGTGGTGACAGTTTTTACTGACAAAAGATTCAGTCAAGACAAGCACTGTCCACCCAACTCTTCGCTATTATTGGAAAGGACAGACATCCACAGTTAAAGCTATGAAAGACATAAACACCTCTCCTTTGAGAGGCCCTTACTCAAATCTGAACTGGGATGCAATAAATCAGCCCCCACATTCACACAGAAAACCAAAAAAAAAAAAAAAAAAAAAAAAAAAAAAAATAAAAAAAAAAAAAAAAAAAAAAAAAAAAAAAAGAAGGAAGGGGAAATTTAGATTAGTCACAAAGAAGTTCCCCCGCCTGCCTCTCTGTGCATAAAGGCACTGGCTTCACTGCACTGCTGCTCCTGGGACGGGAGCTCCCAGCCCTGCTCCCTGCGGCTCCTGCCCTGCTCCCGGCCCTTCCTGGGGCTGGGATGGAACGAGGGGCTGCCATGGAAGGGGGGGCTGGGATGGAAGGGGAGCCAGACACTGAGGCAGGGGCTGGGGAAAAGCTGGAGTGCCACAGGGAACGGGCAGAGCACGAGTGGAAGCTCTGGCAGGGAGGACAGGTCAGGAACACGCTGCACCTCATCTCTGCCGTGGCTCAGTGGATTTTACTGCTTGCCTGCCTGATTTACCTGGGGGTACATTTTCTGCAGCCCACAAAGGTAAGAACTCTGTTCAACCCTCTGTCTGCTGGCCTGTAAAGCCAGCAATATGGGCTTATTCTCTTTTTTTCTTTTTTTTTTCTAAGAAAAGAAGAAAGCTTTTAAGTTTATCCCTATCCCTATCCAAGTTTTTAAATCCTTCTGTATGATAGTGTATTTTTAAATTTTATTTTGTTTTTATTTTAATTGCCTGTCCTCAAAATGACATTCAGTGTTGCTCAGTGCAGGGTTTGGGCACAAGTTTCCAGCTGAGAGACTGTTCCAAGAACGTTCTTTTCACTGATCCCTGGGGAAGGGAGGTCTGACTCCCTCCCACTCTTGCCCCTCCCTGCAGTGACTGGTGCGTATTTCCATTTAATTGAATAAGATCAAGTGGGTGAATGACAACCCAATGTGCTCATAAACACCTCCTGAACTTTCAGAGTGTACTAAATGGCAAAAAGATGTGTGAGAGAAAGCAAGTCACCCTTGTGACAGCTCTAGCAAGACCTCCTGACACCTTTGGGTGCTCTCAGCCTGCCCATAAAGCAGGCTTAGGGGAAGTCATCTCCTTCTGTGCCTGCCTGAGGAAGGCTGCTGTGTCCAGAGAGGGTTTTGTGTGCCACAACACCAGAGCAAACAGCACAAATAACAAAAATGCTTGGGGCTCACAATGTTCCAGCACAAGCTGCAGCAAATACGCGTTTGCCTCTCTCATGTGCTTGCAGGCTGCTGGATTGTCAACAACCTTTCACTGCTGCTTCAGAGCTGCTGGTGCAGCAGCGATTTCTCCTCCCACTCCTTCTCCAGGAGCTTTGCACCACTTTAAAGCTTGTTGTGCTTCGTTTTACCCGAGTTCATTCTTTCCTCCCACCCAGGCTCGGCACAGAAGCAAGCCAGGCATGTAACCGTGGCCTCATGCTCCAGGTCCTGTGCTGCTTACTGAAACTTTTGTGCTCTGCACAGTTTTCACTGACTTGAGGGTCACTGTGGCTATTAAACTGCAGAATAACAATCCTGACAACACTGAAAGAGGGCACTTGTCAGTCAGGTCAATCCTCTTCTCCTTCCCCTACTTTGGGAGAGAGAAGTTGCACTGTAAGGCAGCAGAGGAGTGCAAGCAATCAGAGTGCTCAAGGTGCAGAAACCTCTCCCAGGTCACACTCTGGCTGTGCAGCCTCATCTCTCAGCATCTGGTTCTTCTGTAAAAATGCTCCTCTTGCAGAGGAAGATAGCAGGGCCTGCCATTCCAGCCTGGGAGCCTTACAAACCCAAGGGAGCAGCAGCAGGTGGGGGAACACAGTACACGTCTGGAGCTTCCCTTCCTCAACAGAAATAACTGAGACAGAGTGCTCGAGGGGCAGCAGTGGCAACAGATGAGAAGTCCAGGTCCTGAGAATCACCAAAGGACCTTTTCAGTTTTAAACACTTGGTAACTACAGGGTTAGGACTATTATTTCTATTCTTTTAACAGATAACCCTGGTGTCCTGTTTGGAGTGCCCTGCTCTGTGCCGGAGTGGTACATGGGGAGATTTCATTGCAGTGCAATCACAGGGCTCAGCTGGACAATCATGAACTGGCCATTTAAATGTCTCCTGAGGGGCAGCAGCACGGATCTGACTTGACTTTTGGGGCAGTTTTGGGATATTTATGGAAGTAGGGGCACAGCAGCATGAGAGTGGCAGGCTTAGGAACTGCTGGCCCATGGGAATGAATGAGTGGCTCTCCCTATCCTTGGGAAGAGCCTCCTGCTCTCCAAGGTGCAGAGTGTCATGCTAACTTTATTTGCAAGGGAATAACTATGTTTTTTCACAGAGAGATCATATTTGATTCCTTTCCATTGTCATTGTGGAAACATTGCTCTTAAAAAAAATCCCTCCTGGACTGTTCTGTGAAAACAGAGCATAAATAATGTCATGGGACATCCTCAGTAGTGAGCATCTGCAGCCTAGATTGTACTAACAAAAAGGGACAGTGATCTCATTTCTGTCATGATACCACTTGGAGAACAAACCTCAGCTGAGATTTCCAAATGAGGAAGTTAAAAAAAAGGTCAGTGATAGTCTGCTTTTGCATCTGCAATTCCCACCTCTGCTGGAATTGCCTTCTCTTGCCACACCTTTCCTCTTGCTGGAGACGTAAAATCCCTGATCCTGGTGAGGAGAAGGTACAACCCACTTCCAGAGGATGGTCACCTGCCACCTGTGGGGCAGCTCCACGTGTGACACAGGCAGTGCCCTCAATCAGCCCCCTGAGGTTTGCTTTGTGCGGTCCAAACTTATTCCTGAAACTGGTGGCAGGTGGCATGGCCATGGACAGTGTCCCAGCCAGGGGGAAATCCCCTGTTCAGGGATCCAAAACAGGCAGAAAGGAAGGCTCTGTGTGTAAATGGCACGGGGAAACCTGAGGCTGGCAGTAAGAAGCTCCTCCGTGTCCTCAGCCCTCCTGACATACTTTCCCACGTTGCATGTAGAGGCAGAGCAGAGAAGGAGAGGTCACTCACTTGGCTGGGAGCTCCCAGAGTCCTTCCAGTACCATGGGCACACGGAGTGCTCAGCAGGATGTACCAGCAGGTACCTGTGGGAACCCCCGCCGGGTTCAGGGGTTCTGTGTGGTGGAAAAGTCTCTCCTCCAACCCGTGCTTCCAAAGAAAGGCTCTGCAGCCTCTTGTTGTTCAGTCTCAAGGCAGTTTATTGCAAGTTATCTAAAAGATTTTCTTGTCAGGCTGAGACTGTTTGCTCAGCAGCCCAAGCAGAGGCACACACACACCCTGATATCCTCTCTGTCTGCTGTCTTCTTCTTCTCTCCCCACCCAGGGCTGCTTCTATCTTTTATATGATACATTACGTGTTATATGTTTACAGTTTTCCCCCAATACCTACTACCTATGTTACAAGGTGCTTTTCTACTCTAAACCAATCCATAAGTGCCAACATCACCAAGAACATGGAGGTAAGGAAGAAGAAGGAGGAAGAACAGGATCAGGCCCACTTTCCTCCATCTTAGAACCTCTGACCCCCCTGTACAAAGTAAAAACCTCCCTGTACAGGTGTTAAAACCCCCCTGTACAATACTAAAAAATTTTCCCCTCTACTTTGTAACTACTTCTACTATACTATCTAACCCTTTGTGACCGCTTGTTCCACCTTCAAAGTTGGTAACTCATTCCATGGCTCAAACTCAAAATCACAGCTGTTTCCAGCTGCCTGCCAGGGTCTAAAATGCTTCTGACCAAGGCCTGGAACCTCCAAAAATGTCTGAGGGACATTTTGAGTTCCAACAGGTACCTGCACAGTGCTTTGAGATCACACACCTGCAAGAGAATCGTGAAACAGGCAGTTTGCATTAGTGGCAGCGGGGTTGATAGAAGTGCCTGACCCAGGCTGTCAGTGTTGAATGCACCCTGCCCATCAGTGGCCAGATCACACAGACTGTGGCAGACCTCCTTTGACCCAGACATGTGCTAAGTGCTTTGCACTTGTCTCGTTGAGAAGCTACCTGGAAATCCCGTCTGTGTGAGCCAGGAGAGAAATGCTTGTGCACTCAGCAATAAGATCAAGGCTGAGATTCGAGCTGAGGCGATGGATAGGGACGGCGGTGCCAAAGTGGTGCCAGTTCCACCGACTCACGGGGGTTTAAACTTGTGTTTGCGGGGTCCCCAGCCCCGCGGGCGCGGAGCATCAGCCGTGGCAGCACTAGAGGGTGCCAGAGCAGATCTTTTCCAGCTCCAGCTCCCACCTCAGCCCGGCACGGAGCGCTCCGAGCTCCCGCAGCCTTCCCCTGCCCCGAACCCTGCGCTCCCTCCCTGCGCCTTCCTGTGCCCCCGAGCCCAGCCCATGGCACCCAGCCCAGTCCCCATCTCACGGGCACTCCTCCTCCCTCAGGGAGCCTTTGGCACAGGTAAGGAGAAGAGCACAGAGCGCTGAGCCCAAGATTCACTCTTTAATCAGGCAAAAGGCTGCGGTTGTGTAGAGCCTGCAGATTTGGGTCTGCTGTGGTTATGATGAGAGAAAAGTTTGAGATGCCAAGTTCAGATTTAAAAATCCAACGCAGAAGCTTGGTGTTTTGCATATCTGGCCAGTAAGATACACACTTCTATATTTGCATTCGCTTTCTCTGTTACATTCATAAATAAAAATCACAGTCACAGAATTATTTAGGCTGGAAGGGACCGTGAAGAAAATCTCTTTCCAACCCCTCTGCCGTAGGCAGAGAGGGACACCTTGCACTGTCACAGGCTGCTCCAACCCCTTCCAACCTGGCCTTGAGCACTTCCAGGGATGGAGCACCCACAGCTTTTCTGGGCAACCAGTGCCTGTGCCTCACCACCAAAATTAGGAAGAATTTCTTCCTAATATCTAACCTAAACCTTGTTACAGTGAGCTCATGGACACCCCTTTTTCCCCCCTTTCCCCCGGGCCTCTGTGACTCTGATCAAGATAACCCCTGGATCCTCCTTCCTGCCCCAACGGGGTTGGCGGAGAGCCAGGAAAGCCCACCCTGTCCAAAACCTATATAGACCCCTAAAACTTCCTGCTCTTTCTCTTTTGCCCCGCTCTCCCATGGACACTACAGAATAAAGAGAGCTGTTCCAACCCCCCTGGAGAGGGAACCCCCAGAACCCTTCCCTCTCCTGGTATTCCTCCCCTCAAAGCCCCGTATTCTATTCGGGGGGCTGCGTAGAGGTGGGGAAAACTACAGAAATTACAAAACCTGTCATTTTAAAACCATTTCCCCCTCTCTGATCACTCCAAGCCCTTGTCAAAAGTCTCTCTCCAACTCTCCTGTAGCCCATTTAGGTACTCAAAGGTGCTTTAAGCTCTCCCCAAAGCCTTCTCCTCTCCCCACTGAACAGCCCCAGCTCTCTCAGCCTGCCTTCACAGCAGAGGTGCTCCAGTCCATTTTAAACCCATCCCAGTGCACTGAAGAGCCTCTGAGAGACCCACACAACCAGGGAGAGCCTGACCCAAAGTGCAAGGAGCCATAAAGGCAGAGCCGCCTCCCGGTGCCCTGCAGGAGGGTGGGACAGCACACCCGGCTCCCTGCCCTGCCTGTCTGCCAGCTGCTCCACGCCAGGCTCATGCAGAAAAGACTCTGCACCCCAAGGGTCTGATGAAATTTTTTTTGGTGGGGCGATTTTTTTAAAGTTTTGTGTTAGGAATGAGAGATGGATGGGAATTTTTTGTTTGTTTGTTTTTAGGTTATTGTTTATTTTTATTAGAAGTTTTGTACCTTATTTATATTTTAGATTTAGTATATAAAGAGAAGGTATTAAAAGTTATAAGATATATATAGATTTAAGGCTTTAAAAAGATATTTTAATTAATTTTTAGAAATTTTTATTAATAAGTAATGACTTATTGTTTATGTAATATTTATATTGTGGTTTTTTGAATTAATTATTTTGTGGTTTTAATACTGTAGCAAATTGAGTAGATGAAGAATAAGAAGGAGATTAGATGATGTTTAAAATTTTTTATTTCGTTTTTTATATTAAAAACTTTGAAGTTTTTTCTTTCGTGATAAATGATATTATTATTTATTTTATATATTTGTAGATTTTAATTTATTTTAAAGTTCTGGAAGTTTTCTTTTTAGTGGATGAAGGTTAAAAGTAGCAGGTTTTAGGGGATTCAGATATTTTAGGATATGTAGAGAAATGTTTTTTGTGTTTTTCTTGCTGCTTGCTCTGACTCGATGCACACACAGCGTGGTTTTCTAAACAAAAGCATCCCTGCCGGGGCGCTCCGGAGGGCTCAGCGCTGGGCTGGCAGCCGCACTGCTGGGAACCAGGCTGCAATAATACCTGTGACCATGCTGTCACCTGGAGCCAGACCCCGGGGCTGCTGTGCCCTGCAGGGAATGAGCGGTCCTGGCTGGGAAATAAAAGCAGCAGCAGGGGGGTGCCAGCCCTGCCTTAACCAGGATTTACCCGCTTTGTTTTCCAGACCCAGAGTGACAAGGTGCTGTGGACCCACATCCGCTACACAGGTGGGTGTGGGGTGTTGGGTGGGGTCCCCCAGGGTCCCTTGACCACCCCCCAGTGCAGCAGCCGCCACCGTGCCACATCCCACATATATAATTATAATATAACTTATCACAGGGGGAGGGCTCCCCACCCTAGCACAGTCCCCAGGGACCTCCGTGGCATCCCGTGGCCCCTAAAATACCCAAATGGCTCTTATGGGCTCGGTGCCACAGTGATGGCTTCTTCTTCTTCATGTGCCAGGAGATCTGTCAGGGGAGAGGGGCCAAGCCTGCCCCAGTGCTGCAAGGAGACAAAACGAAAAAATTGGGTTTTCCCAGAGCAGAACAAATAACCTGAAAATCTGCGTGGATCCCTGCAGCCCTCACCTATCTCCTAAAACACTCTTTCACTCTGTGAATGAACAAGAAAGGCAGTTTTTGACAATTTACTAAATGCACACGGCACGCTCTTGGCTTTTTCTGAAACAAGTCAATGGTTTCCTCATTTACGAAAAATGTAAATGATTTCCTCAGGAGGAGTGGGTGAGAGCACACACCATATCAGATGTGCTGCTCTGCATGGCAGCTACACTGGAGGTTTGTCTGATGTCACACCTCAGAGATAAAACCAATCAATAAAACTATTAAAATAATACTGAAAATATTGTTGACAGTTTTACTTTCAGTTAGAAGTGTGAGGCAGCAGGGAGTCCAACCTAATAGAAACTCATCTTCTTCAGAGGGAAAGCCTGAGAAATTTGGCCCTAGACCAGAGGGGCTGTGCTCCCTGCCTGAAGCCCTTCTTGTTGCCCTGGTCCCAGGGGTTTCAGCTGGTGTGCTGAGACCCAGGGGCACAGCAGAGAAATATGGCCAGCACATCCTGGGAACTGTTAGTCTTCATTCTACTAGAATATCTTGCCAAGTTCCAGTTTAATTTCTCCTTTTTCTGCTCTGTATTAATTAATTCCTTCTGCTTCTGTCTCTTTGCTGCTCTTTCATCACGTCTTCTGGAAAAAAAAAAAACAAAAAAAACCCCATAAAACACAACCAAACCCTAAGACAAGGGATTATGTTTTAGTATTTCCACCATATCTCCACAGAAAGCACTTTCTGTCTTCCAGCTCTGGATGCTTTTTCTTCATCGCATTTACTGTCTTAATTTTCCTCTTCTTTTTATGAACCTTTTCTTTCTAAACTCACAGTGATGCTTTACTTGCTGTATTTTTCTGTATTTTAAGATACAGAGTAAGTAAACAGTGCATAAATAAAAATCAGGAGGAGCAATCTCTATAAATCATGTGCCAAAAAGCATGGCTTAGTCAAGAGTGGTAATCTGTAAATTTCCATGGGCGATGATGTCTGGCTAGGGTAGATAATATTCTAATATTCTAGCTCTGGTCTGTTGAATTAAGCTTTTTTTTTTTTTTGATTTAGAGATGGGGTTACTGAGAAGTGTTTTAAAAACTTTTATTTTATTTTTAGTCTTATGTGAAGGGTAAGACAATACAGATGTTATAATTTACATTATAATTAGAAGTTAATTATTTCTTAAGTACAACATATTATAAGTGTTTATTGGTTTATTAGTTTTTGTTACACTATGTTGTAAATGTGTTAAAGTTAATAATCTAAAATTACTCTGTGGGTTTTACTACAATGTATTTTTCATAGTTTTATTTCTTTTAAGTATTTAGTCTTATTTGTAAGGCTATCTTTTAAAACTTGTTTCTAGTTCTATTTCTCAACGTATGTCTTATTCTATGGTATTTCTAAGCATTTTTTATTTAAGAGTTTGTATACAGATGTATACTATGTGAGTTGCTTGTTAAGCTTTGAGAATTCCTAACAAATCTATTTCTCACATTGGTCTGCCCTGTTCTCTAGTTTACTTTCCCCTTTTTTTTTTACATTTTTCAATCTTCCCTGCGGTCAGGTGGTGCAAACCAAGCCACTTCCTAGAAGACATTTGTCAGCATGGGCTCATCTTTGCTCCCTTCCATTGCAGGTGAAAGCACGGAAGGAGCAGCCGTGAACCTGACCGCGGAGTTCGGGCCCATCCAGGTCAGGAACGGCTCCGTCGTGGTGCCCTGCGACGGCCTGTACCTCGTGTCCCTCAGGAGCTTCATCTACCAGCCCAGGGATGGGGTCAAGCTGAAGCTGACCCTGCAGGTCACACAGAAGACGACCAGAAGTGTCCCGTGGGAGGAGACTGTCCAGGGCAGTGAGAGCAGGGTGAACCTCAGCACAGTGCTCTACCTGTTCGAGCAGGACAGCATCACGCTGTGGACCAGCTCCCACGCCAACATCTCGGACCTGACCTTTAGCCTGGTGTTAGTAGGTGAGAACAAGTCCTAGCTGCAGGAGCTGGAGTATGAAGAGCAGCAGGGAAAGCACAGCCTTCCCCACCGAGCTGTAGGTTTTGTACTTGTCCAGGCAGACTGCTCTAGAACCCCTCGTGGGGCTGTGGAGGGCCTGGGTGGGAGTGCAGATGAACCACAGGTTTTATATAGTGCACGCAGGATTCGCCTCTTTGGAGCTCTCTGCAGCTGATTTGCTGCCCAGGATGGATCTTTCCAACCCTGGGGAAAGGGATGCGTGAAGCTCTTTTGAGAAGAACAGAAATGAAAGCCAAAGAAAGTCACCCAAGCTTAGCTCATATTCAGAGAAACCCCGGGTTTCCCTATTTACTTGACAGTATCTGTATATAGTAGAAATGTGTTGTGTTTTTTCTCAAATAAAAGTCTGGTGAGTCAGGAAGACACCTCAAGTGTCTTGAAGCCAATTGGAGCAGGAAGAGCACAAATCTGCCCAGCAAGATGGAAAACAGGGAAGAGGCAGCCTGAAATGCCTTTGGAGTGAGCCAGATAAAGGCTGTGTGAGAGGGAAGGGCCGTGAGAGAAGGTGGTGCTTGGAAATGAGCTGACAGGACCGCACCGGGCAGCAGGAGCACTGACTGTGGAGTTTTGGGGAGAGCCTTTGAGAGCGGAGCCCCACTGGCTGTTCCAGCTGTCTGCAGATCACTGATGCCTGTGCCCATCTGCTGGGACATTCAGGGCCTCAGAGGAAAACCTCCTTCAAGCACACACACACTGGCTTGACCCAAAAGTGATCCAGGCACATAAAAAGTTGGGCAAACTTGTGGTGAGCTCTCTCTAATGGACCAAGGGGAAGCTGCAGGTCTGTGCAGCCTCTGCTCAGGGAGGACTCGGATGGTTCTCATGCCTGCCCTTGGCTTTGTCCCACAGGTGTGACCAGAGATTCCCAGGCACAGCTGCCTGCTGCTGCAGTCAGACGTGTCTCAGTGACTCTCCTGCCTGCTCTGACTGCAGCTGCTGGAGACAGGTCCTGCCCATGCTGCAGGCAGCCCCTGACCCCAGCACAGCCAGCAGCTGGGGCAGTTTTGCTTGCAGCAAGGCAGATTTTAACTACCTGTCAGTTTTTGACTTTGTGTCTCCCAAGGAACTCCATTGACATTTCAGCATGTCACTGCTGGCTGCACGCTCCAAAGTCTTTTGTTAGAAGTATTTATGTAGTTAAGTGATGGGCATAAGAATGTTACATCAGATTGCTTAGAAACCCTGGGAAGGGTTCAGAGCAGATTGCCAGCACCAAACTCCTCTTTGAAGATGCTCCCAATGCTCTGGGCTGTTCCTGCTTTGCAGACACCCAGACCTGGACTGATGCACTCATGGCTGAGCACTCCAGCAAGCTCAGGTGCTGCAGGCAACTATGGACATCCTCCAGGCCTTGGAGAGTTTTCCTGGGCTTTAGGCTAAGGAGCTTCCCTACCTGGCCAGGCTGGAGCCTCAGGGGAAACTGGCTGAAGCTTTTCTCCCCTCATCTGAGAAGCTGTGGCTGACTTGCACCTACAGGATGCTCATCATTAAGAGATATTTTGGGCTTTAAACTCTGGCCATGCTCACCACCAGTGGACTGAAGGAAGCTGCACCCTGCCCCGAAGCTGGGGATTGTCACTCCCCAGCAGAAGTGAGAACGTGTTTCTCTTCCTAAAAAATAATACATTTTTCCTTTGTAGTATTTGGGCTTGTAGTGTCCCTTGGAGGCGGGGGCTGTGGGAGAAGGAGGTTGGAAGTGACTGGTGAATGATACATTCAGTGTTTGAGCAGACATTTTCAATGGTATGGAAACTATATGACATTTTCACCTACTTCCTTTTTTTATAGTTCAGCTTTTGTTTCAGCTCTCCATGAGGGTGTGCAGGGCTGGTGCTTCCCAGCGTGTGCTGACACTGGGCAGGCCGTGCCTGTGGTGTGTGCAGGGGTGCACAGGACAGCAAGAAAGATGAAGCCTTTCTCTGAAGAGAGCACAAATGGATTTGTTGTTTGGAAGGCTGCACCCTTTCTTCTTGTTTAGAGTAGGAGAGGACATTTCACTCACTGATCCCACTGCACTTCCAGGCTGAACTGGACCGATCTGCATCTATACATATACCTGCACTTGTCTTGAAATAAAGGTTGAAACAATTCAACTCCTGCCATTGATTACTTGATGGACTGACTACCCTCATCAGAAAGTTTCCATGCCCTCAGCTTTTGTTTGCACCCAGAGACCCCTTTCTTCCACCAGGTTCACAGTCTCTTTGATACGAGAAACATCAATATTTGTTGTTGTAGGAGCTCACAGATGGTGCTAGAATCCCACCTGACAGCTCTGTTCAGCCAGGCCAGTGCACCCAGGGCTTAGGCCACCCCTTGAAGCCGGGCATGTGGAAGTGCAAAGCTGGACCAGGCAGTTTCTGGAGACAATCCCTGACTACAGAGGGGCAGCACATTCTTTTTCCTGTGCTTACAGTCACAGAAAGGAGACCTCGTGGTGTGTCCTCTGTGATGGATGGGTAGTGCGAGGATTGACTCTCACAATTATCATGTATATTGACAAATATCATGTATATATGGTAAGAAAAATTGTATAGATTTATAGTTATGTTTTACCCCCCCACGTTACCAAGGGACATCTGGGGTTGGGACATTTGGGAGGGTTGGCTTGTCACTATGGTGACATCTGACCTCCAATCAGGATTTATGGAGGCAAAACTCCACCACTGGACAGAGGAGAAGGAGATGGACAGAACTTTGGGAAGGGCAAAAGGGTTAAAAGGCAAAACCTCCATTGTGTGGTTGAGCACATGGTGGGAAAATCCTCTGCTCCCAACGCTGTAACATTTTCTCTATTCAGTCTTCTGTTGTATTTTTGATAAGGTTTAATAAACAGTTCTAAATTTCTGTAAGTGAGTAGCACTTTCTCACACCTCTCTTTCCACGAGGCCATTTCACAGGACACGGCCATCAGCTGGGTCATTACTGACCCCTGGGTGTCCAGGCAGCCTCTCCCACTGCTGTGGTTTTGTCTGACCCATGCTGCTGCACAGGCTACAGAGGTGGCCACGGTGTTCTCATTCTCCTTCTCCTTTCCCATCTCTCCTGGCTCACGTTAAGGATGACAGAGCTGCTGTGAGAGCCATGGCCACCCCTGGGGAGGGGCTGGCCTTGCTGCTCCCAGTGGAGAAGGAGCCACGCAGAGCAGAATGGGATGGAGGACGCTTCTCCTTACACAAATCATGTTGGGAAACAGTCACAGGCCATTCACACCCGTGTGAAGATGACCTCATTTTCTGCCACATATGGTTATCAGTAATAATGGTTGAGCCTGTGGTTTTTCAGACACCATTTACATTTCATCAGCCCGCCTGAGTCACAGCTATTGCCCGTCAGCTTCACTAGAGAGAAGGAGAAAGCCAAAGTGCAAAGTGCAGCTGGCTGGTGCTGCTGTAGAGCCAGCCCTGTCCAGCTCAGGCAGCAGAAAACACAGGAATTTCATTTCCTTATTCAACAATCAAAATACAAAAGTATGACACAGACTCAAGCAGCCTCCTGCAGTACCTAGTTGGGAAGGTTTGACTTATGAGACTTTTCTCAGCAACATCTCTGACTTCAGAGCTGTTTTTGAGCTGGCAGTTGGTTTATATTTTCCAAGGGATCCAGACCAGCCCCAGAGATGCTTGCTTCCAGCTAGGGGATAATAATCCACCAAAATAAGCAAATTGAGCAACACACTCACAGAGGACTGGGAGGAGTTGGTGCCAGGCCAGAAAAGGTCAGTGGTGAGCAGAGCAGAAGGATTTATCTGCAGCCTTATATGCCCTAAGGCCAGGCAGGATCAGGAGGTTATTTACTCATTTTCCAAGTGGATGAGGAAGGCAGTTAAGGGCTCCATTCTCCAAGTGTATGAGGAAGGCTGCTGAGGGCTCAGTTCTCCAAGCAGATGAGTGAAGCTCTTAAGGACTGCAGAGCTGAGCAAGCAGAGTGGAGGCTGGGGCACATCTCCCCATGGAGATGCCAGCAGGCCAATTTTCTGATGGCTGTTCAGCATCCCAGGGCAGAACACACCCCACAGGCTGTGCTGGGAGAGCCTCCCTGTCCCACTGCACCAGGAAGGAGGAGTCTGAGGACAAGAAAAGCCCCAGGCCAGGGCAGGAGGGGACAGTGGCTGACCTGTCCCAGGGGAGCAAGAACACAGGGAAGGAGAGCTCAGCAGAGTTGTGAAGCTGGTAGGGGTCCATGGACTGACTGTCCTTAGGACTTTAGGACTGTAGGACAGTTGGAAGGCAGGACTAAAGGAGTTTTTCTCCTGTGAGCTCACTCTCAGTGAGTGATCCAAACCTCTGCAAATGCCCCAGCACAGCCACTGCCTCATCAAAGAGCCGATTCCTCCTCTTGCTCAATTACCTTTCCAGTAGGACAGCTCTGTTCTCTTGCTCACCAGGTGCCCCAAGGGGGTTATGAGCTCCACCTGCTCAGAGCACAAGAGCACTCAAGACCCATTCCTGGGCCTGCACTTTCTGCTGCCTCTGCGTTTTGCAGGGGCTGGTAGTCCATGCTGTTCTTTGGTGGCCAGCCAAGGCACAAGACAAAGTTTGGGGCATGTGGAAAACACCAATGACTTGTTTTTTAAACATCTTAAAAGTTTATTAGTAATAAAATAGTTATTAAAAAAAACTAATAAAATTAGAGTAATAAAAATTTGGACAATGAGGATTAGGATACTACAAGACAATAAAAAGCAAAGAATTATGGATGTCCAGATGTTTCTGGGCACTAAGCTGCCAAAAACATGCCTGGTGAACAAAGGGATAACCCTTAAAAGCACCAGTCTGCTGCATATTCATAAATCTCATACACGATGCATAAATTCCTTGCAAATTAAAAACTTTTCTGGTTTTTGTCAGCTTCGTCCCCTTAATCCTGGTGGGTCTGTAAAGATGGAGAGAAGGTGGAAGAATGTTTGTTTGTTCTGATAAAGTGGCTGTAACTCTTCAGGTTTTGTGTTGCTGTTATCTCTGTGTGAAGAGTTTCTTGATTATCTTATCCCTTTCTTGAGCTAGTAAAAAATATCTTACATCACATAGTTTCTATTTTAACATTATGTTGTAAGCTAAAACTATATTTAACACACTACTTTAAAAAGATTAATACAGTATTACAAAATAACCCTCCATAATACATATAGTATTCAATTTAATATTTGTGAAAAGCCAAACATAAAATATATATTTTTCACAGGGCAGGACAAAACTTGATGTGGGCACAGATGTACTTTTCTAATAATTGCTTTCATTGTTTGCTTTGAGGAAAAATTCACACCTGTTCCCTGGCAATCCAGAGACCTGTTTCATTTCTTTATATAGAAAAGGTGGTAGTGATCACACTGCAAGGACAAACATTCAACCCAGCATAGGATCTGATCCATAAAGGATACAGCAGCCCCATGGTTTCATCACCAAGTACATGCCTGAGACAAAACATCACCGGTGTTATCTCATGGAATTAAAAGGACTCACTTTCTTGTTTTGTTGATTTAAGGTTTCCATTACTGCCAGTGTTTGCTTATTTGGCTTACTGTCCCCAGCACAGAAAGTGAGCAGAATGATGCACCCAATGAGGACAAACAGATGAGACTTGGTTTCCGACTTTTTTAGGGGTTGTGTGCAGCATTTTGAATCACTGGTTGATCTGCTTCTCCCTTTGTCACTTCCCCATAGGAACCGGAGACATTGACACATCCACCCGCAGGAAACTTCTTTAATATCTCCTGTGTGCTAAAAATACAGCTGGACTTGATAGTCTGAAAGTCTTTTCCAGCCTAAAGAATTCTATTGTTCCATGTGTTCTGCCCTGGAAAATGTGAAGGAGTAACTCTGGTAGCTGCTCACCCACCCTGAAAAGACTCACATTATCCGCAGTCCCAAGCAGCACCCACACTTCACAAGAAAACGTTTGCTCCAGCTCACAGGAGAAAAATCTCACTGCCTTTCCAGTTAGTTCCAATAACTCAGATCATCTCCTAGTGTTATGCTTGATCCTTTCCCAGAAATGTCCTTTCCAGAAGCAGGGTTAGGTGCTGCCTTCCCGAGCCAGTGCTTCATGGCCCACGTGCCAAATCCTGATGTTTGCACTGACTCTGCTGCCATGGATGCAACCAGAAACCTCACCTGGCCCATTCCAGAAAAGCCAGGATTCCTCCTTGCTGTTGTGGGTACAGTCACACACACCTTTGTCCTGTGAAAAAGGCCAATCACTTGGTTTTTAAAATTTTAAAAGTTTAATAATAATAAAATGGTTATAAAAATAATAATACAATTAGAGTAATAAAGTCTAGAGTTAGGACAATTACAAGACAATAAAAGGCAAAGAATTACAGACATCCCGATGCTCTCGGACACTAAGTCACAAAAAGTATGACTTGTGAACAAAGGAATCACCCTTAAAACAATACACTTGTTGCATATTCATACATCCTTTATGGTTATGCATACATTCTATTTAAAACAAGAAACTCTGTCTGTTGTATGCCAGCTGTTTCTTTTAATCCCCTGGTGTCTTCGAGTCTGAGCAAGGCCTGAAGAAATTAGCTTCTTCTGATAAGAAGCCATAAATTCCTCTCCTTTGGAAGATTTAGGTGTTCCTCGAAGCGAGTATCTCATTCCTAAAAAAAAAACCCCACATACATAGTCTCTATTTTAACATTATGTTGTAACCTAAAACTACACTTAACACAATACGTAAGAGAATTAATACAGAATAACTTTCTAACATTACACATATAATATTCATTGTAACATTTGCGAAAAGCCAATCATAAATATGCATTTTTCACAGTCCCATGCCTGGGTTTGCAAAAATACCTGCAAAGAAACCGATGGAGGGACAGAACCCTGCACTGACCTGCAGCCTCCCAGAGGGACCTGCACACAGTTTGGCCCAGAGAAGCTCCAGCTGTGCTGCAGCAGCTGTTGGGCTGAGCTGACCACCAGCCACACCATTAACACCCCAAGATTTGAGGTCAGCACAACAATGCTGAGTAAAGAAGCTGTGTTAGACCAGAGAAGAGGCTGAATCGGTGATCAAAACCCAATCTGAGTGGAAACAGAGGGTGCTGTATAATTAACACCCGCCATGCTTCACATTGTAA